TCCTTCCAAGAAAGCTGCACCACAGAAGGTAGTAACATATAGTTTGTACTGCGACATATAGCAAATTTGACTTGTTATGTTTAGTTAGAATTGTTTGATTAGAGACCTTAATAGTTTGATGTACATGTTTTTAAACTTAAAGTAATTTTATTTTAAATCTTTTCATTTCTTTATTATGCTACTTTAAACAAATTAGTTTTATTTTGAAATATTCAGCTATTTAAACTAAGCTATCGAAGTAAAATTAATGTATATATCAATTTATTTTAGTTTCAAGTTTTATTGGATGCTAGCTGAAATCTTGAGGCTAATTTGGAAATTTTTAAATTTTCATTCACTGTTTTTCAATACTTCTAATGAATGTTTATGTAGAAAATCTGACCACAATGAAATTTCCTATTATTGGTTATATGTGACATGGTTATGTTCAAAATATTTTTGATGTTCACACATAAAATTCATTACCAGAACTCTTTTTGGGTATTTAAACAACAACAAAATAGATTTTCTACAGCCCTTTTTTACTAAACCTCTATTCAAGTTGCACATTCAGAAAGGATGGGCAAAACTCAAAATGTAAAACCTGTTTGGACAAGGTTCTTGAAAACGGCTTTCCTAGAAATTTGACAGTAGATGTATATCGTTTAGGAAAAGAATTACTAGTTCATTGACCACACTAGTTAAAAAAAGTAATTTAAATTTGGCTTGAGGACTAGAAAATCTATATCTTGAAAAGATTGCATCTTTTGAGTATTTTCTCATTAAAGAGTTCAATAAATTAATGTTCAGGAACATTTTGCGCACTGTCTTCTAAGTCTAGATCTCAAGGCCTATCATTAGAAAATTAAAAAGTCTAGTAGATTTATATATTCATTTAACAAGGAGGTATTGTCTTTTTTCAAAATTATTGTATATATTTTTCTTGTTAAGAATTGATGCTTGACTATATTTCTCATGTATAAAGAAATTATTATATCAACATATGTTATTGGGAATAATGTTACTGTATCTTTATGTTTATAAAAACAAAACTGTTGCAATTATTCACAGAAAAAACCTGAAGCAGCAAAAGTGAAACCCAAAGGTAATAAACCAACAACAAAAGATGATGATGATGTCTCAATGTTTACTGTTGACAAGTAAGTAATGCGGATGATGTTTCAATGTTTACTGTTGATAAGTAAGTAACATACATTCTAGACAGTAGATATGATGTTAACATTAACATTTCAAGAGTTTGAGACTTACTTGCCAAGACACTGACTGATACAATCAAAGGTACTTATGATATTAACATTTCAAGAGTTTGAGACTTGTCTAGACACTGACTGATACAAATTAGTTTTCCATTACAGCATTTGTATATTCTGTGGGGAAAGGAATGAAAGCTTCACAGAGGAAGGTCTGGACATACATTACTGGAAGAATTGTCCCATGCTGAAGCGGTGCACTAATTGCAAACAGGTATTAATAATTTTTTTTAAAAATTCTAATTGAATAGTGCAATTTTTATGCTTATAGCATACAAAGTGTAATATGGTTTAATCTTTTTTGTGAACATGTGGTGGAAGGGGGAATCTGGGAAAAGGTTTCCATGCTGTCTTTAGGTGCTCAGCACTCATCTCAGCTTTAGTTAAGGTTTCAAATCAAGCCCCCTTGATAGGTAACCAAGCGGCTTTTGTCACTCAGCCACATTTCACAACTATTTTTCAAATTAGGATTGGATACAATACTCATTTTATTTTTTTTTTCCCTTTACTTTAACATTTCTTTGAAGCTTTTATTAGTTGTATAATTTTTTTTATGAATATTGTAACTTTATCACTTTGTTTTAATTTATTAAAATAAGTATGAATTCAAGATTTGTAGTCCCTTATTAATACTGTAACCTAGGCATTCACACTATATGCCTACTTTGTAGCTATTAGAAGTAGTGGACAAGATAACAGGGTTTTATACATTTAGGAAAGATTCAGAGGGTGAAGGTTAAGTGGATAAAGAAAACAGTCAGTTTAAAATTTTAAGGTCAGTATGACAATATAACTTTACTCTATAGTTCCAGGATTGAGTGGAAATCTGGCTCAAAGAATGCATAAATGTAATTGAACTATAATTTGTTCTTATTTAATTGTGAGTTAATCCATTTTTTCCTGTTCAACAGGTTGTTGAGATAGCCACTTACACTGACCATGTGCTGACAGAATGTGAGGCCAAATCAAACTTTAGCAAATGTCCCAGGTGTTCTGAAGCTATCGCCAAGCCAGAATATGACCAGCATGTGGCTGATAAAGCTTGCAACCGTAAGATTTCTTAGCAAACTTTACGTTAGAGAATCATATTTCCTAATTTAATAACATACCCCATAAGTTATTATTGTAGGTTTAAATGATCTAAGAATTGTTTTTTTTAATGGGTTTATGACTCAGGACAGAGAATTGTTGTAGTACAAAATGGTGACTTTATTTGCTTGAGAATTAAAACATTATTATTTATTTTTTTAATATGAAATCTTAATTTTTTTTTCTTTTGTCATATTCATCAGCTCACAAGACAGGTCAAAACCACTGTCCACTTTGTCATGAAAATATATCTTCTGGTGAAGATGGCTGGAAGGAACACTTGATGGGACGGACAGGGTGTAAACAAAACCCAAGAAGACTTTTGGCTCTTAACAAACCTGCTGGGGGAGCTACAGGTAAAATATTTTTCCCAGTTATTGGACATTAATTGGTTAAAAGAGTTTCCATTTCAAAAAAGTAGACTGAGTAACTTAAATCATTAGTTAGTAGACATAAAAGAAAACTTAAATTGCTAAATTGAGTAATAAATATAGTATTGTACTGGTATAGGTTGTTATCATTGGAAATGGTAATATTTTCAAGTACCTATAAAATGCTTCCAATGCATGCATCTCACATAGCTGGGGACATCCAATCCTGGCCTTCAAGTGTGGCTCAGATATTGAGCCGGCGGAACTGTTGTGACTAATAGGAGAAGGGAATAAGGCGAGCAACTGGCAATTAGACCAGTAAGCTTAAGGCAGGAGGGGCTCGTTAGCCTTGACTAACCAACCTAGGAGAAGAAAAACTCTGAAAACCTCCGCTGACTTAACGGCTACACCCAGATATGGGAAAAAAACTTCTGGAGACAGCCCTGGGGACAGTGCTACATCCTGGCAAATCAATGCTTCTGTTCCTAAACTGTATAAGATATATGCCAAATCTGCTACTTTGAAGGGAGCAACTTAGTTCCTATCATATCTAATGCTCATGCTCTAATCTTGTTACAAGACTAACCACAGCCATTCTATGACTGAAGGAGGCCAACAATAGTAAATAAAATTTTTCCATTTGAGACCTAGCCTTCTAGTGTTTTATGGGGCATAAGATATTGATTTGTTTTTGTAGTCATAACCGGGCCACCAGCTCCCCAAAATTTAAGAAATTTAGTAAAATTAATGTATTAATTATTGTGCTTACCCCTTGACACCATCATAACTGTAAGTGATTTATTCTGTCCTCCTGCTAAGTATCTAAAGATTATAGGGTGAAGAAATTTATTGAAATAGGTAAATTAGTCTGGTTTATGAAATAAAAAAAAACTTGTAATATTCATACATTGCCTTCTTTACACCTGCTGTTGAAGTACATATGGAGGCTTATGTTTAGACTTTGAATCGGTCATGTGACTTATCGAAAAATTAACTTGATCCTGGTGTTGCTGCAGTCAGAAATCTGTGAAACGTGCCTTCATTTTTTCCATACTTTGTCACCATTATTTCCAATTAAATATTGTATTTTAGTTTTGTAATTATATTATATGTTTATTCCATTATTCATTTGTTTTTATCTGACATTTGTTTTTATGAAATTGTATAAGTTTTTATTAATGAGGTTTTTGCAAATAGGCTAAGTTTAGGAAATTGTAACTATGATAGACAATATCTACTAAAGTTAGTGTAACCTGATTTTTTCTATTTTTTAGACATCTCAGGATATTTACTGTCAGTAGCACATGTTCCAAAGGAAAATTTTATGATCTAATATTTAATTATAAAAACAACAAAAAAAAAAAAGCAAATAAGCATTCAGTGTTATGAAATTGTTCAAGTTTTTATTAATGAGGTTTTTGCAAATAGGCTAAGTTTAGGAAATTGTAACTATGATAGACAATATCCACTAAATAACATTCTTACTAAACTTAGTGTAACCTGACTTTTTATATTTTTTAGACATCTCTGGATATTTGCTGTCAGTAGCACAAGTTCCAAAGGAAAATCTTACGATCTAATATTTAATTATAAAAACAAACAAAAAAAAAAGCAAATAAGCATTCAGTGTTAACTTTTGATACTACTTATTAACTTAAGCTCATATTTTGTCTTATGATAACTTTGACATATTTTTTAACTTAAAATTATATCTAGCCATGTACCAGTACATATATATATAGCTAGATACAAACTTTCTTACACAACAATTATTTCCTATTTGAAGAGGCTCCATGGATCAGGAAATTTTTCTGTATTCTCTTCTCTTGTTTTACTCTACAGGTAATAAAACTACTGCAGCACGTGGAAGAGGAGGTAAGGCAGGCTCTGTACGTGGACGCAAATAATACAAACTAGTATACAACTATTGGTCAATTTTCATTTGTAGTAGAATGTTATTTAATTTATAATTTGTTTATTGTTTTTGTTTCTTTTGATTGGCTATTATTGAAACTTTTGTTAGTGTATTCCTTTAAACACAGAAATTATTTTTTTTTTGCTTCTCTGGTCAGTGATCAGTAATTTTATACAGTATAAATGTACAGAATATTTGTGCCATTTGTGAAATGTGATTTTTTGTCTTTTTTATTTATTTTAGAAACCTATTCAGATCTAGATAGGCCTATTGTAGAATATTGAATTCACATGATATATTTACTTTCAATGTGCCTTTGGTAATGCTGTGGCTACATAGAGTAACTTCAGTCCCCATGAATCAATTGTTGAGTCAAAGTATTTCAAAACCTGTCTTAACAAAAACAGCAAAAAATATTTAACAAGCATGTATTTATATTAATTACAGAAGTCATTCTAAATTTAACAAAAATACTGTCAAGATACTGTTTTCTTTGCACATGTAAATATTTAATACAAAGTAGTTTTGCATATGCAACCCATATTTTATGTATTTATTTGACACTTTAATGACAAGGAAGAACTGCTTGTAAAATTGTACATTTAAATTTTTTTCTTTGTAAATTATATCATTTCATGTACAGATAAATAAATAAACACAAGTATGATCAATATCTTGGCTTTACAATTAGTGTTGGTCATTGGCATTGTTAAGTCTCCCATGTTGACTTCTATAATTATATTCAACTGTATATCATTTGAAATAGTTTTTTTCCTTTCCTGTTAATTTCTACTTCTTACTATTTGATAGTTTTTTTAAGTATCAAAAAAAATTTGGTTATAGCTTGGCCATGCAGAAATTAACAACTGCAGCCTATTAAATTTCCAGCCTAATTTCATTATAATTTTGCAGCACTTATACGGCTTAACACACATTTTATTTAGCATTTTTAACTAATTTTTTGGGGGGTTAGAAAATATCTTCAGAAACATAAAATTCAATATTTGGCATGAATAATCTAAAATGTTACCAGTAATAATATTTATATTGATCTAGAACTTTTACATTAAATTTTTTTTTTATTACACTTTCATTCAATGCATATGTTGTAAAACACATTTTCTCAAGAGAGTTGTTTTGTCTCTCAAATTACAAGACATATGCAAGTTTAGAAGTTCCTCTATGCAACTATTTAAACACACTTAAAGAAACACTGTGTTTAGAATATATTTTTCTTGAGCTTAATATCTTCAAATTCAATTCAATAAAACAGGAAATCAAGTGATAAAAACTTCACATAAAACATATAACACTTCACACTTGTACAAATTGTTTATATAATTTGACTGATGAATTATATTTAAAGGGAAGATAGTGCCAATGAATGTCCACTGATCAATGGATAATGACCACTTAACCCTTAAAGTGCTGAACTGTTTTACAATGAGTGCATATACAATTCTGATGTTTAGAGGCTAAACTACCCCAAACGCTTTAAGGGTTAACAAAGATTCTGATAATTAGCTTTGCTTTTATAGTTTTCTGAAAAAGTCTAAATAAGTCTTTGCTTTTTCTTCAACCTTCTTTAACCTTTTCTTCAACCTAGTATGTTTATCTGTCGCTGCCTACATGTTTACCATAGCATCTCTTCAGTCATCTGGAAAAATTTGGTCATCTACAAGTGACCTATTCACTTGGTCATTTAAACACTCTCTACTTTTAGCCCACTTAACCAGCCACCAATGTAACAATTAATATTAATTCACATCTTAATATTCTTCTGAATCTGAAGAAATGGATATGTCTAAAGGATAGCAGTCCCACTGTGAGCATATTACTGGACATTCATATGGACAAATAATGTTTTCTAAAGCAATTTTATCATAGAAGTCTTCTTTAATGAATTCCCTGAACATCATATAATTCATGAGAGGTGCTGGCAAAGGAAGTTCAACCAGCTTGACTGGTGCAAACCTCCCAATACATCTGAACACTTTTGACCGGCACAGCTCCTTTAAGCTAAACACCTGTGTTGAAAGTTCCAAGATATGTTGCCTTAAGGCTTCATCACAGTAAACTGCCACTGGCCACTGTTTTTTCTTTAACCATGTCTCTTGCAGGAACATGGGATTGAGCTCAACTAGAAAATGGACAACATTCCAGAGTTTCTCACTGACAGCCATGTAGAGATAAGAAGGTCTTGATTTTTTGCTCAGCTTACAACCCCAAAGGAGAAGTGTGATAGCACATTTATCGCTGTGTAATCTGATGGCTTGCTCTAAAGGTGTTTCATGCCAACTAGTTGGGAAAGAAAAAAAATCATAAAATGTTTAAATACAGTCTATAAAGACTTATTGGAGGTTTGCTAATGTTTGTACATTGTTTTAAATATACAAAACCATCAAATTACTTCACTGGAACTAATGATTGATAATAAAGGTAGACTAACAAACATTTAAAAGTAAACATTATATTTACTTGAATAAGAATATATCATGCTACACTATACTTGAATTAACAAAATTCAAAAGTATTTTTCACACTCATTTTCAATTTTTTTTACTGTTCTAAGCAAACATAAAGTATTCTAATGTAATTTGTTTTTTTATAAACACTAAGTGATAAAAATGAAATTCAAATAATACAAAAGTTAAAACCTGTATTGTCTGTCCATCTTGTAGCCATATTGCAGCAATAATCTCACCATGTATGGGTTATGCTGTTCTATTGCTATGGTCATGGCAGTCACTCCTGCTTTACTTTTGGCATTCACTTTGCTACCACTTTCTACTAACAGCTCGCAAATCTCATATCGCCTGATGGCAGGGACAGGAATAATGCAACAGTTCGAAATTGAGAAATGTGTCTTAGTGATTACATATGCATTAACTTTTACTATGGATTAATGAAAGCAATAAAGGATAATAATAACACCCAGACAAATGATGCAAAATGAGGCTACATTAACATATTTATATCTGTATCAAAAGATGGATGTTCACAGGCTTGGAGAGCTGTAATAAAAGATTCCACAAGCTGGGTCTTTAAGTGTATTCAGCTTCTCTCAAAAATTAGTTTAAGACTCAAAATAATTGGGATGGCTTGCAATTTTATTTCAGATGAAATCCAATTGCTATATTTAGTCAGAATATACTTTTTGAAGTTTCACTAAACCACATGTACACATATGTCAGTAAAAGCAAAACTTATATGATTAATTCCAGTCATGGAATAAAATAATAATAATGGGACTGAGCACAAGAAGAAAATTAACAACATTCTAGAGTTTCTCATTACAGTCATGTGACTTATTACTATTAAATATTTTTTATTATTATTATTCATAGATTATTGTTTTTTTCAGAGGCATTAAAAAAATGAAAGAGTAACTTGGAAAACAAATGTCACAACATTCATAATTCTGGTCATAAACCAGTAATTTATTTACATCTGAACATGTAGCTGCCAAAATCTTATAACATGTCCACACCATACATTCATCTTCTTTTTTTTAAAGAATCATCTGTAATGTAAATTAAAGAATGAGAAAAAAAAAAGATCTTTTTGTCAAGCTTTATTGAAGTTTATTCTTTCAAATTTGGTGGAAGCTGAATTAATTTGAGATTTTCTGGTTAAAACATCTTGCTTGGTCTTGACAAATAACAACATGACACCAATGTATATACAATTGATTTACCTTACAAAAAATCTTTTAACAATGTTATGAATATGTTATAAACATAAGAAGACAAAAATGGAAGCAAAATAAAACCAAAAACTCAGTTGCTACTTTTTTACCTTAAAACTACAGCAATGTGTAGAGCTGTGCATCCATTCTCTATCACAGCATGGAGATTGCATAAATTATTTATGAGCAACTGACAAATATCAAGATTGTTTGTCTGGATGGCCCTGTAGAAACAATTACTTAAGATGCAGTAGTGGAAGAAATATTAGTCATAATATGGGTCTGTCTTAAGTTACTGAAGTGAAATTAATAAAAGCAGTAAATACATTACAATATTGTAGGTCCCAGTTCTGAAATGATGATCTTATAATACATAATGTAAGTTCTATATTTATTTATGTTTTTTTTTTAAATTTTAAGGATATGTTAGATTTTTGTAACATCCAAAACAACATATAGTTGAATTTGAAAATAAAAAACTTAAATAAACAAAATATGCAGTAAATTTCTGACTAAATGCATACTTTATGAGTGGAGTTACAGCCCCTGAGTCAAAGTATAGCTTGGTATTGACATCTGCCCCTGCATGCAATAGTTCTTTCACAATTGCAGGACTGTTGGACAAAATGGCTCTGTAGAGAAGTGTATACCCTGTGGATCAAAGTCAAAGATATATATATTTATAATTTTCTAAAAATTGGATAAAACTAATAAGCCTGCATAAAGTGGATAATATGGAAGAGTAAAAGGTTTACAGTAAAGAGCTTATTATAGTTTATTTAACACCTTTTTTTTTTATTACAATCCATAAAAAAAACATGCCAACCTGTCTCTTTATCAGTGAAATTAACTTCACATTTATTGGTTGACAGCAGCAATTTAGTTAGCTGAATATTTCCATGCTTCACTGCACACCTGTTAAATCACTTTACTGATATACCAAATGATTGAAAATTAAAATATTAAAATATATTATAGTATTAGTCTTCAGTATTTTGGGGGAGTAGAATATAGTTGTAGATCTAGAATACAAATGATACATGGATAATATGCTCTTCTTTCATTACATAGCCTTTTCTGTTACTATCTACCTATCATCTCTAAGTTAGCATTGATTCTAAGCCTTTCAGAAAGGGATATTTCATGTCAAGGTATATTGTTAGTTGGACAGTGGAGTAGCTAGAGTGGGGGAGAATTTGAAAATTGAAAATTTGAAATACTTGAGGGGGGCCCCCAAATGAGTGCTTTTTACATTAAAAATTAAATATTAAGCAAAATGCAGGGGCCCCCAAAGGATGGAAAATTCCTAGCTATGCCCCTGTAGTTGGAGTAAGATATAGCTCTATGTATAGGGTATTAATTTAGAACCAAATAGTAATATTTAGGACAGAAACTGATGACCACAGATTTAGGTTAGAATTAGGGAGAAAGAAGGTTGCCATTATATAGGCTTGACAACATATTTTCTCTGTATTAGGTAAATTTCATTAAGAACATTGAGAAGACTCAGTTGTAATGCTCAATCTTGTATATGATTATATCAAGATGATTGTGACTCAAAGAAGTATTCACATTTGAAATTTTCTGCAATTATTTCTGATAATTAAATGAATGGAGGCAATAAGTGTGATGAACACAGATTCCCTTTAAAACACAAAACATGTGACAAAATCAAATGAACATTGAGCATATAGTTAAATGCCTAACACTGTTTTCAAACAATGAACAATAAGCCAAACCTATTTCAACACAACATACCAGATGGCCCTGCATCCTGTAGTAGTTTCTGAATTTACATTTGGTGGTTTACGCTTATTCTTCAACAACAAATCAACCATGTCAAATAGTTCAAGCTGGCATGCAATAATCAGAGCTGTTGTATTGGTACATTCACTGGGATTTGTGTCATTGATGTCAACATCTTTTAATTTTAGCATTTTTCTGACCTAGTATAAATACAATTAATGTACTGAAGAACTGTTAA